ATCGCGCGGGTGAACGAATAAAAAAACGTGTAGAGAGTCTCCCCCCCTGTAGAGGCGCTGTAGAGACGCAGCCACTTTACTTCGTACGCCCGCGCGATTATTTTGAATAGACAATAGTCACTTTATTTTTTTTTCTATAATTCTAGAAAATTTTCTAGAAGAATCCAGAAAGAAAATCAGTACATTTTTCTCCTTTTTTTCAGAATTTTGAGTACATATTTCAAGAAAAATTTTTTTTTCTCAGATTCACAGAAAAAATGTTCGCTGTGAGAAAAAAACATGTTGTCAGTCATTTGGTTTTTTTTCAATTTCTGAGATAATTGAAAAAATTGATTTCTCTGAAAATCAGAATTTCTGGAAATTTTGAATTTCGAGTTTTAAAATTTTTTAGGCGACTTACAGTTATTTAAATGGCAATACCATTTTTTTTTTTGATTTTTGACTTTTGGATTTTTTTTCTGAAAAATCTTGAAAATGCGAAAATTTCAGCTGGATTTCTGTCAAAAAACCAACTCACTAGATCATCTAGGAACCGAGGTATAGGCCTTTGAAGTTTTGACGCTCTAGCTGCCTGCGTCTCTCTTGCCGCGCGCGAGAGACGCAGTGTGTCTCGTTGTCTGCGTCTCTCGCGCTGAAAACTTCAAATCACTATATCTCGGGTTCTAGAAGAGCTACAAAGTTGGTTCTTAGACAGATTTAGAAGAAAAATTGCGTGTTTTAAGCTCACTAGTTGAAACTATGGAAAAAAAAAACAAATAAAAATAATATTTTTTTGAATTTTCTTCATTTCGAGTCCTAGAAAGGCTTTCCTGAGTTTCATTTTCGTCGAAGAACCGTTCCTAGCTCTTCTAAAAGCCGAGATACAGCCATTTCAATTTTTGACGCTCTAGCTGTCTGCGTCTCTCTTGCCGCGCGCGAGAGACACAGTGTGTCTCGTCGTCTGCGTCTCTCGCGCTCAAAACTTCAAATAGTTATATCTCGGGCTCTAGAAGAGTTATATAGTTGGGGTAAAAACCAAAACGGAAACTCACGAGTACTCAAACTTCTTGTTATACTTCCAAAAATTCCGAAAATTCTAATTCTTCCAGAAAAATGTCCACTTGCGCAACTCAAACTGATCTCGACCGTTTGGCCAGTCTCAACTTTATAATTTCTCAATTTGTGAACTTATTCACAGCCCTCATCACATTTTCAGCCTCAATTTTTGCTTTAAAATTGCTAATTTTCCATTCAATACTTGAAAATTCCACAAAACTATTGCTTATCCTTAATTTGGCCTATGCAATTATCTACCAAATATTCTACAGTATCGAAGCAACTACAGTAGTCTATAAGCATTTCAATTTGGAGCATGAGAAATGCGAAATTCTAAAACTCGAAAAATCTTGTGCTCCGATTAATCAGATTTTGCTCGGCTGCTCATCCGGAATGATTTTCTGCCAAACGGGTTTAATTCTGGAACGAACGATTGCCACGTTTTATAAGGATTACTGTAGACATCATTATTTAATTAGCTCGCTAATTACCCTAATTATCTTGGTAATTAGCTCACAAATCGGAAGATTGGTTTATTGGGATGATCCTTTGAATGCGGCCAGCTTGGCTTGCTTCGTTTTCCCCAAACAAAGCGCTCAGCGATCGCTGATCTACTTTTTGTGCTGTACAGTAGTCACTATGCTCAATTTGACGGCTTCGATTTGGTTGAAGAGATATAATAAGAAATTGGAGTATCAGTGAGTTTTTGGTTTTCCTAAAAATTTTGGAATTTCCGTTTTTCTCATTTTCAAAATTTCTCATTTCATTCATTTCATTTTTTTCATTTTCTCTTCTAGAAGCCGAGATATAGTCATTTGAAATTTTGACGCTCTAGTTGTCTGCGTCTCTCTTGCCGCGCGCGAGACGCAGTGTGTCTCGTCGTCTGAGTCTCTTCAAAACTTCAAATTGCTGTATCTCGGCTTCTAGACAACCTAGAACGTTCATTTTTTTTTTGGATTTTTAGATTTTAAAAATGATTTTCAGAATTCGCTTTAAAATCGCCGCTCGTTTTCATAAACGAGAAGTGATCGAATCGACTGGAACAATTTGTTTTTTGAATTTTTCGCAATTTTCGTTATTTTTTATATATTCCGTCGGGATTTCGACAATGAAAAGTATTCGAAATGTTATACTACCGGAGACTTATTATTTGTTCATTGCTTGGCTTTATGTGTGTTTTTTTTGAATTTCTGAAGTTTTTTTTTGAATTTGTCGAAAATTGAAAACCTGTGGTTTTGGAATTTTTAATTTTTGAAAGTTTCTGAAATTTTAATAATTTTCGAATTTTTCAATTTCTGAAATTTTGAATTTCTGAAATTTTGAAATTCTGAATTTCTGAAATTTTGAAAATCTGAATTTTTTCTGAATTTCTAAATTTCTGAATTTCTGAATTTCTGAATTTCTGAATTTCTGAATTTCTGAATTTCTGAATTTCTGAATTTCTGAATTTCTAAATTTCTGAATTTCTGAATTTCTGAATTTCTGAATATCCGAATTTCTGAATTTCTGAATTTCCACCAAATTCATATTTTTTCCAGACAATTCCATTCGTCGCCATGATCTACCCACTTCTTCTGATCTACCGTATCCGGACTACAAAATCAAAACGAATTCAAAAATCTATTGAAATTTCAAACAAAATTTTAACACAAGATGATCACATCAATCAAATTAAAACTATGTGGAAATGAAGTATTTAAAAGTATTTTTTTTTATTTTTTTAATTTCTTAAATCTTGTCTGGAAATCAAAAATTTCCAGATTTCTTAAAAAGTTTGAAGTTTGAAATTTTTGGTATTTTCAGATTTCTTGAAAAATTACAAATTTCGGTTTTTAAGAACTTTTAGATTTCTTGGAACTTTGAAAAATTCAGGATTTTTGAGAAATATTCTTTTTAATAAACGGAAAATTTCGAAAATCGAAATTTTTCTCAATTTATTTGGAATTTCGAAAATTCTAGAATTTCCAGAGAACTTTATAAATTCGACTAATTTTTTTTTGAAATTCTCGAATCTCAATTTTCTCAATTTTTCACAATTTTTGTGAGCAAGAAAAAAAATAATTTTCAGACAAAATTAATTCATATAAATCGCAAAGTTGTTATCACAAAAAAAGTTTAAATGCATCAAAAAATTGAACAATCAATAAAAAAAAAGAGAGAGAGAGAGAGTTTCATATAAAACGAGAGATTTAGAGATTTAGACAGAAAAAAGGGAAATTAAAAATTTTGAGAAAATCAAGGAAGAAGAAATAAATGAATCGAAAAATTGGAAAATCCCAGAATCATCTAGAAGACGTCAAAATTAACAAAAAAAATGATTTTCAGAATTTCAAAAAATTCAGAAGACGTCAAAACTTGAAAATTTAAACTCCAGAATTTACAACGACGTTTTCTTCCTCTCCTTCATCATCTCCTTCACCGTCCTCCTCACACACGAGTCCTCCCAAGGCGTCGGCACCAGTTCCGTTCCATACTTCGACATGTTCTCCAGAAGACGTCGTCGTTGACGTCCCTCAAACTCCTCAACGAATTCTCGATCTTCAGACGGTGGCCAGAGGTCTCCGTCGCCGACGTCATCCATGTGTACACGTAGTTTGATCGATGGGACCACACGCGAGCATTGTCGGCCGGATATGGTAGGGTAGGCGGAGAGAAGACCCGTCATCTCGATTATCGTCACTGGCAGCTTCTGGAAAATTTTTTCAGAAGAATTGGGGATTCAGAAGACGTCAAAAATATTAAAAAAAATTCGAAAAAAAAATTTTTTTCTGAATTTTTCCATTTTATGAAAATTCTGAAATCCTACCGATTTGTACAACGTCGTCTCTGTAACTCGACACATTGCATCCTCGATTGGTGTACCCGCGTAGCGCGTTCGTGTTACTGGATCGCTCTGAATCAAGGAGATGTTTTAGAACTATCTAAAAGTTCTGAAATGTCACAGTTCTAAAATGTCGGCGACGTTTTAGAACAGTGACATTCAAGAACCGCGGCGTTTTGTAACTGTATCGCATTAGAACCATGACGTTTCAGAACTTTTTCGTTTTAGAACCGCGACGTTTTAGAACTGTGGCATTTCATATCTGTGACGTTTCAGAACCGCAACGTTTTAGAACTGCGACATTTGAGAACTGCGACGTGATGTATCTGTATCGCATTAGAACCACGAAGTTTCAGAACTTTTCCGTTTTAGAACCGCGACGTTTCGGAACCGCGACGTTTTAAAACGGTTGCGAAATGACATACCTCCTGCTTAATCAAAACCATTCCCAAATCGTCTTCGGCTCTCGCCAGAATCGCATCGTTCTGTTCTTTGGTCATGTAGAGGTATTCTGGAAGAAAAAAAATTAGTTGCGAAACGTCTCGGTTGCGAAATGTCCGAGTTTCGAAACGTCCTGTTTTGAAGCCTCAAAAACAGCTGGGACATTTCGCAACTGCGACACTTTAAAACCAAGTCATTTTGCAACTGCATTAACTTGGTTTCGAAATGGAACAGTTGCGAAATGTCACAGCTGATTTTGAGGCTTCAAAGCCGGATATTTCGAAACTCCGACATTTCAAAACTCGGACATTTCGCAACTCGGGCAAATCGCGGCTCTAGTATGAAATTCTGGTCCTTAGAAAAAATTCTGGTCCTTAAAAAAAATTCTGGTCCTTAAAAAAAAATTCTGGTCCTTAAAAAAAATTCTGGTCCTTAGAAAAAATTCTGGTCCTTAGAAAAAATTCTGGTCCTTAGAAAAAATTCTGGTCCTTAAAAAAAATTCTGGTCCTTAAAAAAAATTCTGGTCCTTAAAAAAAATTCTGGTCCTTAAAAAAAATTCTGGTCCTTAAAAAAAATTTCGCAACTCGGGCAAATCGGAGAGCGTTTACACACAGATGGGTCAATCACAAAGTAAACTTTGTTGACCCCAGCGATCGACGAGTTCACACTCAGTCTATTGAAGCCACATGGGGTGCTTTCAAACGGGAACTCAAAGCGAAATATGGCGTCCCAGAAGATCAACTCGTTTCGCAACTCGGGCAAATCGCGGCTCTAGTATGAAATTCTGGTCCTTAGAAAAAATTCTGGTCCTTAAAAAAAATTCTGGTCCTTAAAAAAATTCTGGTCCTTAAAAAATTCTGGTCCTTAAAAAAAAATTCTGGTCCTTAAAAAAAAATTCTGGTCCTTAAAAAAAAATTCTGGTCCTTAAAAAAAATTCTGGTCCTTAAAAAAAATTCTGGTCCTTAAAGAAAGATGTGGGTATTTGAATAGCTTTCATGTTTTTGTTTGAAAATTTGGTTAGATTGAAACGTTTATTTATTCCAATCATGTTTTCAATAGTTTTGATGTTTTAAAAATAATTTTTTTTGTAATTTTGATTTTTATTCAGAAGAAGGTATAAGACTAAAAGGTGTGGCATATAAGAATTAGAGAGGATAAATAGTTCAGAACACAAAAAAAAAGAATATCGGTTGCAACAAGATGATCTTATCCGCGTCCTTTGAACTTCCTTCGGCCGGTGAAAGTGGATTTTAGAGTAGTGGTTGTGAATCTTGGAGTAATGGTAGTCGATCTTGGAGTGGTGGTAGTGGGCCGCCCGCGTCTTCTTCTATCATTCCGAGTCTTCTGAGTGGTGATGGTTGTTTGTCTCGTTTCAGGGGCAGACGTCGTCCGTTTCGTACGAGGTTCTGTCGTGGTTCGTCTCGACTGATGGGAAGTTGTTCGTCTTGTTCTCATGGTGGTCGTGGTCCTCATGGTTGCTGTGGTTGTGATGGTGGTTGTAGGATCAGCTTTTCGACTTTGTGTCTTCTTCCGAGGTTTTCGAGTTTTGGTCGTCGTTTGCCTTGGTGTAGTTGACGAAATTGGTCTGTTGGTTTTGATAATCATTTCTGGCTTAGAAGAGGTGGTGGTTCTCATTGTAGAAGCGGTAGAAGAACTTCGACGTTCGTTTCTATTTCGATTCAAACGAGCAGCCATTTGGTTTGTCCTGTTGAAAATGTAAAGGCGCGATTGTTTCTTTCATTTCGTTGTTTGGGAGCAAATGAAACTCTATCAGAATCGAACTGTTTTCTTTTTCTGAAGATTTTCGTGGTCGGTGCTTCAGTCAATTGATCTTCCTCTTCCTGTTCATCTTCGTACTCATCTTCCTGATTCTTTTCCTGCTCCTCATCCTGCTCCTTATCCTGCTCCTCATCCTGCTCCTCATCCTGCTCCTCTTTTTGTCTATCATCCTCGCCTTCTCCCTCCTGCTCTCCGTTTTGCTCTTCTTCCTGCTCTCTCTCCTGCTCTTCCTCAAACTCTGGTTCATCTTCGTTTTGGATATCGTCATCATCATATTCATCATAATGATCATAACCATCATAATCGTCATAACCATCATAACCATCATAGACATTATTATCATCAACTGTACTATCTGCTCCGTCTTCATCATCGTCGTCTCCATGATTCGGGTCGCTGGAATCGGACTCGTCTTCACCGTCGTAGTAATCAGAGCTTTCATCCGTGGAGATTTCAGATTCACTTGAATCATAGTCATCTTCTTTCTTATAATACTTCATCTCGATCAGAAGGTGGTTCAGAAGTTTTTTTCTTCCGAAGTATCGTCTAAACATGTATGTCGACATGTATCCGTCGAGTTGATCTTCTGGGACGCCATATTTCGCTTTGAGTTCCCGTTTGAAAGCACCCCATGTGGCTTCAATAGACTGAGTGTGAACTCGTCGATCGCTGGGGTCAACAAAGTTTTCTTTGTGATTGACCCATCTGTGTGTAAACGCTCTCTGGAGGGTGCTGATGCCTCCGTAGGCGGCCCAACCATCGGATACAATCATAGAGCCTGAAGTAGACAAAATTGAGCTGAGCAGGATGTATTTTTTTTTCTTACCTGGTTTGACATGTGCTCTAATGATCGGGAGTAGAGTTGCTGCATCTCGTTGCTTCACGCGGAACATTGCCACCTTAAAAAACAAATTAAATACCAATGAAGCGATGTTTTCCATCTTGCCCATGTAAAAAACTATGAGCTCTGGAAGTGATTTAAACACAATACTATCTTTTATGAGTGTTTTTCAAAGAAATTATATGATCAATAATACATTGTTGAATAAGTATAGCTTCTAAGAACGTTATATCAAGAGTCACTCACTTTATTTGTGTGACGTTCAGTCATGCCAAATATCCAGATAGATTTTCTTCTTAGCATGTGCCCACGGTTGTATTTCGCTTTATACATGTGACTTTCGTCGATTTCGACGATTTTCCCTGAAAGTGACTATTTTATTCTGGAAAAAATTACTAACTACCTGGTCCACCAAGCAGAAAATTTGAAT